CTCACTTCAAACACATTGTTACCCCCACTTCTCCTTCTTTCAACCACATCTTTTCTCTTTCTCTCTTTCTCTTTCTTTTTTGTGCCAAGGATTGAACGCATGACCTCGCACTTGCTTTATTGTTCTTTCTTAAGCAATTCTGAAAATTCTTTTTCTTGAGTGGCTTTAGTTGTGCTGCCTTTACTACTCTGAATCAATTCAAAATGATTGCTTCTCATTACTTGACATTTTGAGTTTGAGGAAGAGCTAAAAATCACACGGTAGCAGATTCAGTGGCTCAGGAGGTAGAGGACACACTGGGTGGTTTTTGCAGCCTGCCTTTCTGTTGGATGGTACTGGGCAGCTGCATTCACCACTTTTTCTACTCACACTTCATAAAGACACTCGCAAAAGAGGACTTCCACAGCTGCTTCAGAAAGAGTTGAGATTGGTGGATAATTATGTTCGAGCATGGAGGAAGTGTTTTGAGGGAAATTAATTAGCAGTATGTCTTTTACTTGTAATAATTTTTTTTTTTTTTGTCTTTTTCCTTTTTATCGGTACCAGGGATCGAACTCATGACTGCCTGCTTACAAGGCAGGCGCTTATGCCGCTGAGCTAAATCCCCAGCCCCCAATAATTTTTTAAAAATAAATATTCACTGTATTTTTAAATCATCCCTTCTGTATTCAGTTTGCCTTGCATAAGTCTGCAGTCTTTTAGATATGGCCCATAGCAACATTTATCTTCTTATTTTTAGCAAATATACTTTCAGATTAAAACACTGAGTCCTCTTTGTTTCTGTAATTACTTCTGGAAAGTGTGTACTTATATAGGAATAACGGAGAACTCATCCATTTTTGATGCTAGGTTAATTATGGAGTAACAGTGAAACATTTTCAGTGGTGGAAACTTTTATAATTTATTTTTAGATTGACTTGTAATGATCAACTCATTACCTAATTATTTTAGTTATAGTTTATTAATATGTTCTAGTGTTTTAAAGACTTTCTAAGAGTAAAGATAGTAACACTGTAACTATTATAGCAAAATTTTTAGCACTGTATGAATTTTTTTTAAGAAATTCAAATAGAATATGATCTAAACTTGAAAAAAATCCCATTTTACATAATCCTTATAAATTTAGCTGATTTTAGGATCCAAAACACCACTGTTTTTAGTTTGATTTAAACTATTGTTCTCTGACTTGATATATGGAATATGGGAGAAGGGAAATACTTAGGATTGGAGCTGACAGATTTCTGTCTACCACAGAGAGGGACCAGAATTGAGTTGTCTATCAGCTCTCCTCTCTGAAATGCCAAATGCAGGTCTCCCAAGAGAGACCTGGGCTGGAACCCCCTCAGCTGTGGTCTGATAACATTGGTCAGTTTTTGAAAAAGACTTTGAAAGTTAGGGGCTAAATTTACCTTTGATAATATGTAGTTAATGATCTGTCTCTTAGTTTGAATTTTCTTTGTGCTATCATTCATGGAAAGCATAGAATGTGATTTGTCACTGATAAAAAATCACTCTGGCCATATGAATTTCTGTCAATCACCTGATAGCTCCAAGTTTATGTATTTAAGGGCACTTATTACCATGTTAATGGAAGAAAATGGTAAAGATAAAGCCAGTAGAGTATGTACACTTTAAAGCACAAAAACATCTGGACATGGTAGCACATGCCTGTAATCCCAGCACTCAGGACGATGAGACAGGAGGGTTACTGAGAGTTTGAGGCCAGCCTGGAATGTATAGGGAGCCTGTATTAAAAAAAAAAAAAGCACAAAAATAGTGCATTTTTATGGTCTAAACTAAAGCACCTATCAGATAGAGCTGGTATTATGTTTTATGTTTCTTTCCTCCCCCCATAAAAGCAACATTGTGGGAAATTTTAAAAATTGTACTACTTTTAGTAAAATAAAACTCTCGTCATTCTTTCCTTACTGATACAGTTAATTTGGGCAATGCCAGCCCATTATTGTCAGAATTTCTATCAACTAAAAATGCATTGTGATCTGCTGCATGCATAAAAATTACACTTTAATGAGCAAAACCAAGCTAAACATAATTATGCCTATACCAGTACTATGACAAGAAGTGTCTTCCACACAAGTGATGATTTCCATTCCAGGGATAATTTTATTGTCTCATTTGCATGATGTTCTCCTTGCTGACATATTAATACACAGACTATGTCCATCCACTCTCAGGCTAGGCAGTTGTCCACAAAATATAGTTAACTCTCTTTTACTCCTTGAAAAGTCTGAAGTAATTACAACACGAAAATGGTGATGGTAACCATTAGGAAATCATTAAAAGCTGCACTTTTTCTTTTAACCAAACTTCCTTGATTGGGTATGTGTACTTGTTGGAGGTGTGCTCTGAACACATCACAAAGGCCTCAACAGTTAAATCACAAATATTTACCCATCCGCTGTTAGCCAAAGATAAGGACATTCTACCAGTGCTGAATGCTCATCTCTGAGATTAAAGAGTGTTATAGCTGCTAGTGAGTACAAATGCCAAAGAGGAAAGTTGGTGCTTGTTCCTACTTAGAGGTGTGTCAGCATATATTCTCTTCAGCTCTTGAAGAAACTTCACAGTGTAGACTTCCCAGGTAAAGGGGCACAATTACAAACACAGAATTGACAAAACCATTGATTCTATAAGAACTGTAGCTAATTTTTTCTGGTCATTTCCCTTTGATCTTAACAAAGCACTTTTAAAAAGAAAAGAATTTGCTTCCACACATTGTGGAAGTCACTGAAGGATTTTACATGGACTTAACTCCCTTTAAAATCCAATTCTTCAAAGAGTGATTGGGATAAAAGGTTGGGCATTCACAATAAAAACTGAAAATCACATTAGGGAAAATGTGTCTTAAAGTGGCATATGGTTTACAGCAAGAACAAAAACTGCATCGATTTTTTGAACCAAAAACTGCTGTAATAGATTATTATAAATGTATAGGTTTTTTATATCAAAACAACTACATATTCTTACCATATCTCCTATGCTTATAGAATCTGAAAAAGCATCTAAGATTGTGAATTCCCCTTTATCAGAATTTGGCAGTTACAAGTGACTGTTGATTTACAACCCAGCTGGTTCTTAGGTCCTGGCTGCAAGTCAGTCTCTTTAAATCAGGAATTGCCTGACTCAGAACTCACAGCTTTCCCTGCTCAGTTGCTCAAGGAAAAAATGTCTTCCTCTAATTTCTTATTCATAAATCACAGTTCGTTCTCCTCTCCTCTCCTTTTCTCTTTTTCTTGAGATAGCTTTCGTTACATGTCCAGTCTGGTCTCAAACTTTGAATCCTGCCGTCTTTGTCTCCAGTGCTGCTGGGATAGCAGATGTGTGCTACCACACTCAGTTTCCATGCCTGTTCTTAAGAGGGACAATCCTTTGTTAAAATTTTGCTAGTTTTAAAGACACATAGATTCCCTCATCTAATTGCATTAATACAATGAAAATATTTTCAACTTGCAAATTCTCTCATCTTATTTCAACATTGGTATCCTTGACTCTCTTGGATGTGTAGTGTTTAGGGGGCTATACAAGTCAGTTATGGCTTTAGAACAGGGGTGTAGATAATTTATTTACAATTAAAAGGTGGGAAGGAGGAGATGACACTAAGTTAGGTGTTTATGTCTCGGTAAAGTTTTAATGACATCAGCTGAGAATTCTCTTTCCGTTAGAGGAAAGAGAATTTCCTTGGACTGGGGGAAAAATAAGTGATGAACATAAACAAGGATGAGTGGGTTTGCAGTAAAGTCTTGAGGCCCAGAAGAAGCTCATGGGTTTGGTGTCAGGGGCTAGAAATGGGCAAAATTGAGACTGGAACTACAAATCCCTTATTACCCCAGACACTCAGAAAATTTCTGAGTAGCACATATTCAGTTCTGCCTAAGGTGCCCAAAGCATTTCCTATGTAGGTTTCTAAGTTAGCAGACTGAAACAGCCCAAGACACAGGAATTAACAATTCTGTGTCATGAAAGTAGACTCTGAACATTGGATGAAGGATTATACAAAGAAAATTAAAATGATAGTATTCCTTTAACTGCCTATAACTTCAACAGAACTAGAAACCTGGTAAAAAGCATTGAAGAGAAGGCTTCCAGGGATAAGAGAAGGAATAGAACCGGCAATGTGTAATGCAAATGTCTGATGTTTCTTGTTTAGAGAATTTGAACCCAGCGAGCATTTGTAGACTGAGTTCTGGCTTCACTTATCTGTAGGGGTTTAGGTTTTCTTCACTGCAAATTTTACCACCATGAGATTCTTAGGAAATGTCACTGTAATTTTTGGGAAAATATCTGCAGTAAAAAATAAATAGACACACAACTTGCCTCTCAAGTTGGCTTTGCTTCTTGTGACAGATGTTTGTAGAGGAGGTTGATTTGTGACTGAACAAGTGAGCCCTTCCGAGTGTGAGGCAGACTTCACGAGCAACTTCTTCAGGGGTGTTCTTCATCTTTTAAGGAACCTAATCCCTCACTGCCTATCATCTGGTTTTTCTCCGCTATTTGTTTTCCTTTAAAGATAAGAAACCTTACTTATTTGCTATAGTGCTTAGAGGATTTGATAGTAAATATTTTAGAAGAATTTAAAGGAGAGAAAAATTCTGCTATATTGATAATCTGTGCCTTAGAGGTACAACTTTTCTCCAGATTTTTCATTGCTGTTACTAAGCACTTTTTTTTTTTTTTGTACCAGGGATTTAACTCATGACCTCACACTTGCCAAGCAGTTGCTTATGCCACTGAGCTAAATCCCCAGCCCATCTGAGCACTTGTATATATCCCACCTTGTTTTGTCCCATGGTAGCTTGTATTTTCTCGTATTTGTAGACTGAGTAGATCCCTTAAGATGTATAGGTGGAGCTACTCAGGTTACATTTCACTAAATTTTTATAATGGCATTTTAAGCATCTCAACATATATTTAATAAGCCTTGCTTGCTACTAAGGCAGGTAAAAGGAGGAGGAAGTTAAAAGTTGAATTTCTCTTTCCAGGAAACCTTTGAGAAGGTGAGCTTGAGTAGCAACAGCAGTGGAGCAGCCAGCCTGAAAAGCGAGCTTTCAGAAAGCGCAGATCTGGCCCCTGAAGGCTTCCAGGCTCCCTGCGGGAAGGAAGAAGACAGAGCCTGCGATGAAGTACTGTCTGAGGACAACTTCAACCTGGAGACTATTGAGAAAGGTACGGCTGGTGAAAGGGTGTCCTGTGGGCAAGAGTACACTCTCCGCTCCTTTCTGTTTCCTGGCTCATTTGCTTTTTTATTTCTGTTGATGTGCAGATATATATTCAGAGCTGGATGATGAATTGGACATTTCGGATAACTCCAGCAGCTTGAGCTCCAGTCCTCTGAAGGACTCTACATTCAGTAAGCTTTCCTTACAAGCTCACCATCTGTGGGAGTCTAGTGCGTTGTGGTTGGGAGTCAGACCTTGTGCCTGTCCTGGAGCTGGTTTGTTTTTCAGGTGCAGTGCTGGTAGTGGCAGGTGTGTCTGGGTCTCCTCCATATTCCAGAGGCCAGCTGACCCTGTGGCTTTACTGTCCCTCAACTGTTGGGGACAGTTCTATTATTCCTAGGAGCAAATGAAGCTCTTACTGGGAACTGAGATAATTGATCTGGAGACAATTAAATAGCCACACAAATGATAGACGTGATCCTTTCAGATTAAATGGGTTAGAGGAATTAGAAATGCATAGAAGAAACTAGACTTGTGACAGGCAAGTTTTGTGCCATTTTATTTATATTAATGTAGACGGGTGTATTATATTTAAAAACACTAAACTAGAAAAAATATCTGAATATTTTATTACTATGAAAAATGCAATATATAAATTCAGCTTAATGTTAGATTTAATTTGAAAGCAGAATATAATTATATTAAGGAATAGGAAAGAAAAGAAAAAGGTATATTTAGATAGAATTGAAAGATTATAAGGAAAGATAGGATCAAATATACTCAACAAGCCTGAAATTGAAAGGTGTTCAAATAGAAAATGGAGAAAAAATAATTTTAAAAGAAATTGAAAGGTGTTCAAATAGAAAATGGAGAAAAAAATAATTTTAAAAGAAAATTGATAGAATATAAAATTTATACATAGAAATAGTCTAAAGTAAATTAAGTATAAATTCTCTCTCTCAGTGACTGGGCTATGAAAAAAATCTCAAAAGAGAAGATTTAAAGTAGAACCCTAAGGAGTTAGCTACATTTTTTGTCTTTTAAAAACCTCATTGGTTCATCCAAATAGTAACTAGATCTTCCAGATTTTCTGGGACAATCACAATTTCCAATTCCCTGTCCTAGTTTTCCTGTAAGTCTCTGCTTTCTTGATAAAATGGTTTGATTGCAACTGGGAAAACATGAATATGATACAGGAAAAATTTTTCTTGCATAGAGATCTAGCACATTCTAAAGAGAGGTCATTATGTTTTTGTGATGGGTTCAGTGTGGTTTATCTTTGTGATGAGTTCAGTGTAACAGTGGTGAGGAGGGGCAGTAGGGAAATGGGAAGGAGAAACTCCATCTTAAATTTACATGTAGTAGATAGCAACAGTCCTGGGACAGGTTTTAGGCACATTATTTTGTTAAGGACAAATAACCATTTAGTTTTGTTTGCTTAACATCTTTTCTTTGAAAGTAAGGCCTTAAACAAATCTGTCACATAAATAGTAATTTGTACCATTGTATTTTAGCTGAGGCTTTCATGCACAAAGAGGATCTTTATAATTAGATAACAGAAATATAGGATTTATAAAAATATTTGTAGAGGAAATGATGTAGTTATTTTTCAATTCTTGTTGCAGGCATCTTAAAGAGAAGTTTTAGTGCTTCGGGAGGAGACAGACAGTCCCAAGCGAGGTATGTACAAATAGTCCTCTTGACGTGTTTTTAGACTTTTTGGAGCTGGGTAGTTGGTAATTGAATCGGCGGCCAAAAGTCATTATAGGCATATGGAACTAGAAGCTGAAAGGACTTACCTGCCCAGACCTACTGCAGTTTACTATAGCATGCTGGAGGGCGCACTAAGCGTGAACATGGCTCTGCCTTTTTCTAGCTTGTGGCCGTCACCTAAAAAGTCTTTCTGAGCTCAGGGTCAAAATTGTAGGACATCTGTGGGCTGTGACATCACCTAGAGCCCTGGCTTGGTTCCCTGCATCTCCAGGTTATATGGCTAATCCTGACGGCAGATATGACCAAAGAAAGGAAAGAGGAATTGGAGATATATCGTTTCCTTTTAAGAATGTGACCAGATGTTTCGCCCTTGACTTTTGCTCTTACACATTTAGCTAGGATGCCCTTCCAGTGACCACATCTACCTGCAGAGATTGATAGAATTTATGTATCAGTAAGGAGAAATTACTGTGGAACAACTGGCTCTACCACTAACACCTGTCTTTTGGGATAAGGACTGAAACAAAACTGTTAGATATGGACTTTGCAAGTCTCAGTAACCTTTATGAGACTGTTCATGAGACTGTTCTCATGAACAGTTTTGGTAGCATTAGGTGATGAAGGAATGCTTGATTGTGATACTCCTGAGAATTTATAGAGGTGGGAAGTTCAAGAAAGTGGGGAGTGACCTAAAAGAGTTAGTTTACAGGGGATGTTTGATGGAAAAGGCCTCCTACTATCATGATGAGTCCTAAAGACTTGGTTGAGTCTGTAGTGAAGGGGCAGTTGAGAGGCGAGTAGAGAAGGAATGCTAAGTCAGCTGTGTACTTGCATAGCAGCTTGGAGCCAGAGAAGCAGGCGTGGGAAAGGCAGAGATAAGAGAGGGAAGTGTTAGTTTTTCTGTATCTGGAAAAAGAGAGATCAAGATGCAGTGAAGCCAGAGAAGTAGTGAGGGGATGTCTGCTTATTGATGTTCCAGGCTACTGCTGAGAAACCTGCTGAGATTTCAGGAGTCTGATCAGCTGGGATCAATCAGTATAGAAATAAGAAAGGAACTCAAGAGAAAGAGAGAGGGATTGTCAGAGGGTAGGGCCCCGGTTGAGCCTGGGCCCAGGCAGAATGTCAAAGCTGGGATACGGGCATTACAAAAGCACATTATGACACACGGCCATACTCCCTGGTTGAAGAATTTTGTAGTAAAATGGCAATTTACAATCAGATGAATTTAGGGACCATGGAATTGATAAATAATTATTCTTTTGTTTCCTAAAATAATTCATAGAAAGTTGTTTTATTTGCAAGAATTCTGTTGCTGTCTTTTTTTTTTTTTTAAAGCAGAATATATTTACTGGGGAAAGAAAAGGTCTGGAGTGGGCCATCAAGGACCCTGCCTTTTCTAGGGCTTTCTATAGAGCAAAACCATGAGGTGAGACAGGTCCAAGGTGGGAAAAATCAAAGATAACAACCGTTGGTGTCTTAACTCTTCAAAATGAGAAGAAACGTATATACGGTTCATTTTAGATCTTGAGATAATTTAGAAAAACACTTACTATTCAAATATTTTCCAACAATTGAGCAAACTCTAGTCTGTCGATAGGGAAAATTCAGTCTGAGGCAGGAGTATTGCACAGTGGTGTTACCCTGAGTTTATGAACTTGTTAACAGATAGAAAATGGCCTGTACTTTGCAGGAGGGATAATGCAACGTGAATAAGACCTGACCCAGAACAGCATTTGTGTAGATATGCTCCATGTAGGGTATGTGCAGTGTGACATATGGAAACAGACACTGGTTTAAGCCAAGCTCTGTTCCCTCAAGGAACTCACACTGTAATGCAAGATAAAGGTGAACTTTAGGAGAAAAATATGATAAAAGACAGTCTATGCCTCATGTCTAGCAAGAGGAGAAAACATTTTTTATGCTTTCAGGTCATCCTTGAGCTTTCTTTGAAGTAGAAGGAGACACCTCTAAAATGTATATATAATTCTTAATCAGACAATAAATAAAGCTACAATTATTTTTTTGGATTTTCCTGGGTTTCTTGGTTTACTAATGTGAAATGTAAACTCATCCTACAGCTGTTTATATAATAACTGATAAACTTGAATGTAAAAGAAGATAGCAAAGCTATATAATAGAGTAAACATAAATTGAAATCAAGCTTGTAGAGTCTTTGGCTATTCTGCTCCATGTCTAAAATCATGTGACAGCTATGGTGAGGCCCCGGGCAGCTTTTTCCAAGGAGTTAGTCCCAAGAGCAGATGCACAGGGAAGTGCAGATCTGAACTGAGAGCAGCTTCCACTCTGGAAGTTTATTTAGAATCTGGAAGTCAATTTAGAGTTGACTCTGGCTAAATATTGCAGAGAGAAAACTAAAGCATAAATTCTCAGCTTTGGTTACCTTATATATCAGGAGCCATACTTATACCAATTAATTTCCAGCTAAAAATACTGAGCTATCTACTTAAGCACTTGGGAAAGAATTTTTTAGACAAATGAGCTGGGAAAATAGTGGAGTAAAGCAAATGGAAGGAGAAGAGCAGCTTCTGTCTCCTCAAGGAAGTATTGAAGTTTGAAGGCTGGAGAATGCAAATATGGCATTAGAACTAGAAGACTGCCCGGTGATCCGCACAATCATCCTATGAATTTTTCTGTTTTAGTGATATAATTAATAGCAAAACCAAAAGAGGATCAATCCCTTTGAAATTTTTAACTTAAGTCATTTTCAAATTTGATTTAAAATTTTATGTCTGCATTACTATTTTCCAGGAAAAATTTAAGAATGTACTTGACAAAAGCATGGTGGTGCTTGTAATCTTAGCACTTGGGAGGCTGAGGCAGGAGAATTTCATGAGTTCAGGGTCAGCCTAAGCTACCTAAGTTCAAGGCTGGTCTGAACTACCCAGTCAGACCCTCTCTCAAAAACCAAACCAAACAAAAACAAAACAAAACATGGACTTTTTATTGATTTTTGAGGTCTTTTATCAGTACATATTTGCAGTACAGTGATTATATTCATTGTGGTGAGTTGGTACATTTTACAATACAACTTAATTCTTTTTATACAACCTTATTCTTCCTTTCCCCTATCTCTCATCTCTTGGTCCTCTTCCCATTTGCAAAAGATCTATCTCTGTGTTTCCTATATTACTCATCTTTATGTGTGTTTTGAGTTTCTCATATAAAATTATGTAATATTTAAGCTTGTGTGTCTGATTTATTTCACTTAACATTATAGTGTCCAGTAGCCATTATTTTACAAATGACTCAGATTTATCCTTCTTTATGGCAGTATTCCACTGTGTATAAATACAACATTTCTTTATCCATTTATCAGTTATGATATGCCTATACTATATATAGGCAGTGTGAGTTGTGCTGCTATAAATATGGATATATTCTATTTGTGTAATAATAAATCTTTAACTCTTTTGAGAAGATGCCTAGAAGGGGAATCATTGGTCAAAGGAATTTCTAGTTTTAGTTTTTTTTGAAAAATTTCCACATTGATTTCCATGGCAGTTGTCATAGTTTGCATTCCCATCAACAATGTAGAAGGTTTTTTTAATCTCCACAGCATCATCAGCATTTGTCATTGTTTGAGTTCTTAATGATGGCTATTCTTTCTGGTGTAAGCTAGAGTCTCACTGTTGTTTTAATTTGAATTGTTCTAATGGCCAGTGATATCGGTCATGTTTCCATGTATTTATTTGCCATTTCCACTTCATCTTCTAAGAAGAGTCTGTTCATTTAAGTTGCCCATATTTTTATTGGGTCTTTTATTTTGACAGAGCTAATGTTTTGAGTTCTTTATGTATTCTAATTACTAGTCCTCCATTTGAGTTGCTGCAAGATAAAATCGGAAAATTCTTAGGTGGAGGCCAGAACTTTTTGAATAGAACTTCAGTTTTGTATAATAAAGAACACTAAGAATCAATAAGGGATCATAACAAATGAAAGAGCTTTGAGACAAAAAAGAAAACCATTAACAGAATAGAGAGAAGAAAAATTTGTCAGGTATACCTCAGAGTTTCATCAACTTTTATTATGCAGTTCGTATAGGCTGATTTATAAATATTTCTAATATATATATTATATATTATATTATATTACATATATTATATATATTTCTAATCCAGCAATTCACAGTATTTTATGTCAATTAAAATTATCCTTTACAGTAGAATGTGATTAGGTAAATAAGAGCTTCAGCCTAGAGCTATTGCATTCAGGTACTAGTAAACTTTGGTTATTATATAATGGTTTTCTTAAGAATATTCATTTGAACTTGGTGCAGTGGTATATGCCTGTAGTTTCAATTGTTTGGGAGGCTGATGCAGGAAAACCTCTTGCACCCATCAGTTCAGGACCAGCTTAGGTAACATAGCAAGACCTTGTCTAAAAAAAAAAAAAAAAGAATATTCACTCATTTATTCAGGTAACAAATATTTAATTCTGTGTACCAGACATGTGCCATAATATGTCTGTTTTATTTTAGAATTTTCCAGGGCACACTATATTGCATAAAAGTGCCACAAATCCAAAAAGTCTTCATAATTAACATGAACAACACTATTTTAATACAAATTCTATTTCTCCTTGTAGAAGACTGATTTAAATCTATGGCTTTTGCCATAGTCACAGCGTAAGACACATTCTTTTCCCTCTCTCTAACTCCCTCTTTTTAAGATTCTGTTGCTCAGGCAACAAGATTTCTTCATGCCTGCTTGCCTCCTGTTGCCAAGGCAACAGGATGTAGTTGGCAGGCTGGTTTGAGACATCGGATGTTTGTGGTATCAGAGATATCTGTGGTTCACAACTTCTTTGATAAGTTAGTGTATGCATAATGTTATTTTAAGAGTGTGCTCTTGACTTCAGTCTGTATATAGAAATGATTGTGGCTGTTTGTCAGAAATGGACCAGAAAGATGCCTGTGTCATCTCAAGACCTGTGACACTTCCCTCCTTTTAGCAGATGTCTTGTTTATTTTCACTTGTGGCTATTCTCTCTCAGCCCACTTTTTCATAAAGCGTATCTGGTTTTACTTCCACTGAATAAGTACTGCTCATCACTACTTTAGCCTATCTGCCAATATTACAACCCAGCAGTCTCATTAGCAAAACAAAACAGCCACAGCAAAACCCAGCCAGGACTGTCAGTGGGACTGCTATGCATTCCTGTGACAGTTCTTAACTTTTGTGGCTTCTCGCTTGTTTCTAGCTGACATTGCAGTGTGAGTGAGACGCCACAGGAGCATGATATCACTTTCTTATCATCACACCAACTCTGCTAACGTAGATAAATACAAGCCTTTATTGAGTATGAGAACTCAGCCCTATATCATGTCACTTATTCATACAGCATATGCTTATGAGTGTCACTGCCTGAACTAGACTTGCTGCTGTAAAATTCTGTTTAGCTCTTATGGTATGATTATAGGAACCTAAAAACATATTTTCTTAATATTATGAGCCAAACATCTCATAGAATAAGGTTAAATATTTCTTTTTCTCAATATCAAGTATCATTGGCTACTTTTCCCAACTGAATTAATTTATTTGATGTACTCATAATGTGTGAGAAAGTATTTCTTTACTGAGATATATTTAAAGGAACCCTTACAAGAGGCAGAGTTCTAGAACTTTATCTTTGTATATAGACATCAGTCTTTGTATATAGAAATGATTGTGGATATTTGTGACCATCCAACATCATAAATAGTCAAGAGTCTTCTGACAAAGCAATTAACCAAATAATTCATGCTGTGCTCAAATTAATTCAGTGGAAGTCTATTTAGAAAGTCACAAAGCTCATGCCTTCATTTTCCCACTTTAACACAATCAATCATCTGAGGGGAAAGCTGTAGACTAGAAGGCTGTAGCGCTCATTTTCAGCCTGCCGGGTTTTTTTTGAGTTACGCATTCTTATGTATTATGGATGAGGTCACACCATATCTGAACAAATCTGGATGTAAAACCTCTCATCCCTAGATTTCTTTGAAATTCTCTCATCAGCCTGACGTGCTATTGGTCAGTACCCATTTTAAAACAGTCTTGAATGGTAAGCCTTTATACCAGAAGTGTCTGGAATGTTCTTTTTGGGTTAAATCATTTGTATCTTTCCCAGCTTTAGCTGCTGTGGGAAGAGCAGCCTCTACAGCCGTGAAGGTCCTGTGGATGTGAACTTTCAGTGTGGTTCAACCCAGAACTCCCTTAGGTTCTGCATATATTCAGTCATTTATCTATCTACAGAGCCAGCAATTGCACATTAAAATCTGTCACTTTTGTCACAGCGATATGTTTTATTTTGAAGATTCAGAAGTCTACATTTTCTTGTGATTAATGATACAATTTCCATGAAAGTCATTATTTTTTCATTATTCAGTCTTGTAAGTCCTCAAAAATATGGAGACCTTCTCACCATCCCATCTCTAGTGCTAGCACAGCGTCTGCATATAGTAGAAAGCCAATAAATATACTTATTGAATAAATTAATGCATAAATGTGACTTTTGAAAAGTTACCTAAAATTTCTTAAAAGGAATTGAAATTATAGAAAGGAGTAGCAAGTTTGTACAAATCAGTGTTTTTATCAAACATACCCAAATGTTGTCATTTTAATATATTGTATACTTCAATGAAACTAGAAATCAGTTCCTCAGTTGTACTAGTCATGTATCAACTGCTTAACAGTCAGTCACATGCGCTAACAGCCACCATATTTGAATTCTAGACCCTTCTATAGAAGTGTTGATCACTGTTTTTCCACATGCAGCATGACCTAGCTGTGCCTCAAAAATCTCACTGTCACAAAAGAGGAATAAGAATGAAACTTGTGGAAAACTTTAATCCACATTCATGGGTATTTTTGAAGAGCTGCTAGCCACATGCTGAGCTGTCTAGATAACTATTCTTTTTGCCTCAAAGAATTAAATATTTGAAACATTTTTACACATATTTATTAAAATATGATAAACAGTTTATACAAGTAAGATGTGTGAAATAGGTCACCCTGACAATGCTGAAGTCGAAAACAAAAATGACTTAACCCAAAAAGAACCTTCCAGACACTTTTGATACAAAGGCTTAACATATTCAAAAGCATGTCCTCTAATAGCTTTAAAATGGATACTTCTTTCTTTATTTAATTAGTTATAGGATATTAATCATACTTTGAGCTCATAAACAATCTCATGGGGCTGGGAAATCCCTAGCTCAGTGGCATAAGCGCTTGCCTTGCAAGCGCGTGGTTGTGAGTTTGATCCCTTGTACCAAAACAAAAACAAAAACAATCTCATTGGGATAAACTTCTTCCATTTGTCAGCAGAATGCCCATTTTGCTTTGTGTTGGAATGTTTTTTCCTCTTTTTATTAAACTCTTAAGAACATGTTGAAGCAAAATAACCTTTATTTAATGTATAATGTAGACCATAGCAGAGTATAGCTTTTAGTAAGTGTTTGTCTAATTCAAATTGGAAAAGTCATTCTAATAGCCTCCCGTTCTGCTTTCAGGGAGTTCATTGGTGGAATGGGATCAAGACCAAGACCAGGTAATTTAGCGTTGGTAGCGGTAAAATCAAGCAGCATAACTTCCTGAAATTCAGTATCATTTATGTTATAGTTTCATACCTTTCCCCCTTTTATTTCTTCAGCTTTGCTGCCTCTTGACCTGCTTCTGAAAGTGCCACCCTTCGTGGTCAGGTCCCACGTTAAGGAAGTAGAGGCCGAGGTAGTGACAGGTTGGCAGTCCCATAGCCTTCCTGCTGTGATTCTTCGCAATCTCAAAGGTCCTGGTAGTACTTATTAGCTCACACTGATGTTAAGCACAGTGAGTGAACACAGAATTAGAGTTGGGCCTGAAATGTCTGAATGATATTTAAGAGGTTATTTTAACTCAAATAGCCAGAAAATTCTGTTTGGTTCAGCCACAACAATAGAAAATTGATTTCACTTCTTGATTAAAATATTATAGGTGTTTTTCTGTGTTCACTTATGAATTAAAATATTATATATAGATGTTTTTCCAAAACTTACATTTATGCTTTTATGGGAATTAACAAGTTATGCTATGGATGTGTAAAGTATATACCTACTAACAAAAATATAGCTGTTTTATGTAGGTGTTTCTATAAATTCTAAAAGTATATGAATGAGTAATTTTTTCTATCTCCTTTACTCTGACATAGAATTTTCTTTTTTATTTAATTTGTATTTGATTAAAATGGTTTCTTTAAATTTATAAATCCTTAAATACAAAAGTTTATAATGATAGTTTATGATGAAAAAAGATGTATTAATCTTTCTAATTTCTATGAAAGAGGATAAAAGTACAATAACAGTAAAATTATTATCTACACCTATACATTCAGAAGGAGTTTAATGATTTCCATTTAAACATGTACAAGTATAGGACTTGAGCATACAATTCTATTTTGTTATTTTGGTTAATTTGGAATTATCATTCAGTACTATTTTCACATTAGCTTCCTCAGTTCACATTTTTTGTACAGTTAACATGCATAGTGAGCATTTTCCATATAAATGGATATTCTTTTAATGTTAGGCCACGTTGCTACATTTATTAAATTTTCTTTGAAAGAATTATTAACAGTTTGAGACCATCACAATGTCAACATAGATGCAAAGCAAGATGGTTTTATTAGCTACATGCCCAATAACTATTGTGTTGGCCATGACCTTGTTTCTGTTATTTTTTCAAAGGTAAGTTAAAAACATAATCATGAATTTAAAATGGTAGCTGTTGATTGATTTTATAAAAGCAAGAGTAGAGCATGTGCACAATGTGCACACACACACACACACACACACACACACAGAATTCTTTTTTCTGAAGGACATATTATGTTAGTTCAGTATAAGGTGTGATTTTGTGTTACTGATATTGATCATATCTCTGGATCTTTGAAACAACTATTGACATTATAACACATTTTGTATATAATATGTTCCTTATTTCTAGAGTTTGTTATACCTTCCATTTTTTTTTTTTTTTGAGATGAGGTCTCATTACATAGTTCAGGCTGGTCTTGAACTTGCTTTGTAGCTCAGGCTGACCTTGAACTCAGAAATCCTCCTGATTCAGGCTTCCAAATTCTGGGATTACAGGCGTGCCGCCATGCCTGACACCTTCCAATTTTTAAAATTTTATGGCATTCACTAAAGCATTCTAAATATGAGTCAAAGCTAAATTTTACCCATAAAAGAATTTTTTTACTAATATTGAAGAGTAGGGTAAGATATATGAGAAAATTCAGGTTACTGTGAGAAATTAGATGTATGAATTTTTTTCTGTGTTTTACAAAAGTCGTACTTTTTAAAACATTGCAAGTAAGTTTGGACTATTTTATCAAATTACAGATAGTTGACACTAGCCCTGTACACCTAGGCCCTTTCACCTGCATGCTTTATTACATTATTAGCTTACAAGTATAAAAGTGTACCATTGCCATTACATTTCAAGAGGAGAGACGTGAGTTTGGACCAAGATGCTTGAGATTGGTTTGAATTATACCTTAAGTGTTTCTTACTAGAACAGGTAAAAAGCACTGAAATATATAATTGTTTTATTTAAAAGTCATATTGCATATTTTACTTATTGAACATTTAATTTAGCCTTCATGAATCAGAAGGATCCTGTTGAAAGCTGTACATAATTAACATCTGTAGCTCTGCATTGCCTAAATATTCTGGAAAAAATTGGTATGGTGGGAAGAATGTTATAAAAGTCTAAGTTTCCCCCACAAGAATATATCTAAGATGTGAATGTTATTTTCCATGTGTGATGGTGGCACAAAGGATGAGGGCCATTGTTTTAATAACTGTGTTATGTGGTCTTGACTATATGGTGTTCTTATATATGAACTTCTAGGTTTACAGTGTGAAGATGCAACCGTATTTAATCGCAACTCCAAACTGATGAATAACTATAAAACTATTTCAAATTAATGCTGTTATAGCTTCCCTCATTCTATCTTTTAATACCAATGAAACTATAACAATAATTTATCTTGTTTATATTGTTTAAGGATAGATTATAGTTCCCTGCCAACAGAAGTGAAAATTTAAAAATTCTTAAATTGCAAAATGCTAACAGTAATTAATATGGAATCAATAAGTACATTAACATGTTTATTTCCTCACGTTTTGTCATTTGTAAATGGATATTATGCAAATGTAGCCATCTTGACTATCATTTGCACTACTGTTTTTCTAATATTTTTCTGTAAATTGGATAATTTTCTCAAGCTTATTTATAGGAGAAATTTACATTTTGCTATAAATGGGAAGCTAATAAGGTATCACTTGCTGTTAATAAATGGCAGCTCTAAAGTCTACAAATTTCATAAACATATTAAATTCTAAGTAGATTTCATTGATTGGTTCTTTTTAAGTCTGTTGTCTTTGTTATCAAAGAACATTAGCTAATATTTGAGAACTATCGTGAAGATATACTTGCAGCATACTGAAACTTAATCCGTGAGATGATAAGTACGAGGTAAAGAAAATTGGAAAAGGAATATTTTTCCACCATAGTTATTTCATACTCAATATAGTTAATGTGTAAACTCAGTCTGTAAAAATTCCTCGTGCCTGTGGAATTTAATTCTTTCAAAATTCTTTTAAAATGATTGATTCTGTTGTCTATAGAGTGAAAGCAATTAATCAAATAGATGTTATTAAATATTTTGAATGGGAAAAATCTAGAATCTATTATATATACAAAAATAGCAGTTTCTTCTTGAATCAAGGCATATAAGTGGAAACTAAGTCATACAAACAGTACATGCACTGTTTGTCATATGCATAGAACACAATACAAAATTATAAGTGCTATCATTTGTGGTTTAAGTGTGTTTTGAGATGTGAGTCAAATCCAAATTTTAGAGTGCAAATGTAGTGTCAACTAAGAATCTGACCTAATTTGACCAGATTAACAGTGACATGCTTTCTTCCCTTGCTCAGATTCTCATTTAGACAGTATCTGACACTCAGGCATTGAACTGATGTATGGTGATTCTTCTGCTCTGCATTTTTAATAGAAACTGTCACTTCACAATTTCTGGGATCTTAATTATGTTTTTTCCCTAGATGACTGAGAATCTATTTTTATACTTGTCTTTTTTTCATAAAGGTCAGATCTAAATAAAGTAGTCAATGTTTCAGCCACATATTCTAGAGAGCTAATATTCTAGCTGTCTTTACATGGGCAACCCTTCGTAGCTTACTTTCAAGTAAGTTGTTGATATACAGTGCAAACAACTATGTTTTGCAATGGCAAAGTGATTTTGAATATATATTTCATTTTATTGTATCTCATCACAGCTTTTTTGGCATATAAAAATCAGGTCACCAGATTTTAGTCTGCTCCTATAATGCTAATGTATACTGTGTGATTTAACATAATATTACATACTTTTAAATATTTTTATTGGAATTAAGTGTGTATTATTCATGCTTCCCAAATAGATTATAAATACCTTCAGTAAATTAATACAGATATAATTATCTTGATTCAACCTTGTGTATGTCTTTTATGATCAGGTCCTTAAAAACTTTTTTAAGAAAGTGATTCAGGCTATCACTGTATAAACCCTTGCGTATCCTTGCTCCCCTGTTGAAAGCACCACATACATAATCAGAAATGAGGATTTTTTCCACATTAGTCTTTTAAATACAGGTTGAGCATCTCTAATCTGAAAATCTAAAATCTACAATGTTCCCCAAGCCTAAATTATTAAAGTACTGATGTATGGAAAAATGACTTCTGATCTCATATGATGAGTTGCAGTCAAAATGTAGGTTCACTAAAAATATTATGTGACATTAGCTTCAGGTTATGTGAGATGCAATATATATGAAACATAAATGAATTTTGTGTTTGGACTTGGATCCCATTTTCAGGATATCTCTTTATGAATATACAAATATGCCAAAATTTAAGCCAGGTAGAATGGTGCATGCCTGTAACACTAGCTCTTGAGAAGTTGAGGTAAGAAGATTGCCAGCAGTTGTGACCAGCCTGGGCTACATAGCAAGACTCTGCCTCAATAAACAATGCACACACACACACACACACACACACACACACGCACACACACCCCAAATATTCTCTTCCAAAGCACTTTGAATAAGGGATATTTAACCTGGCTGTGATATATATATTTTTATATTACACTTCAGTTTGGCATTAAAACTGGGAGACACAAATTTTCTTTATCAATGATGACTTGTTTTCTAGTGTTTCATGCCAAGGGAATATGCAACAGTAACCCAAGAGGTTACTTCCTGAAGAAGAAAATTTTCTAATAATCTTTGTAGAGCAATGACATTTTAATGAGACACACACAGTCTCACAGAAGTTATTGATGGTCTCAATCCATGATGAAGTGCAAACTGAAATCACCTGTTAAGTGGCAGCTCATTCCTCTGTGCCCTCAAAGTCGCTGGCTAGGAGCAAAGCCCAAAGAAAAGAAAGGCTGAAAGTTAATAACAGTCTGTGGTAGGAATAAAGAGAGGTCAGTATTACTTGGGTAATGGTCAGAGCATAGTGTGCAAAATACTTGAGTCAATGGAGAAAAGCATGGCTGTCAAATACCAAGTTGCCGTTTGAATGATTTTAATAGGACAGTCACAGAGCCATTCAAATTGGTTTGTCATACAGACCAATTTAAGTATTGTGGATGGGGCAGAGAAGCCAATAGTAATGTTAAATCCAGATATCAAGGAACTCATCCGGTTAATGTGAAACATTTCGAATATGAAACAT